AAAACGTTATTATTGAAATGAAACTGTTACACGAAAATGCACATATAAAAATGATAATAACTAGCACGCAGATCGGTAGAAATGGTAAGAAAAATTGTAAGCTTCCCCAAACTTGAAACTCAGGAGTTGCCTATGGTCTTTATTATAACAGGTCCCGTGAAAAAAAACGGGCCGCCTATAAGAAGAAATCAAATGCCCATCCAACTGATTCGGATACCGGGCGCGCGCGAGCTCCGTACAGAGCAGATTAACAGGCGCAACCAATGGACGGGGTGGGGTGGCGAATTTGACGACAATTTGCGGGCAGTGGGTTCTGAACAACAATGATAAACATTTATTTAAAAAAATCATTTTGGGGGAAATTATACCACCACCCAAAAGGGCACTTTGGAGACTGGAAAGGCAAAGGGGCATGTGCTCTGCACAGGTAGAGCCCTATCTGTGCAAGTGCCTGACGGTTAGTGTTGAGGTTAGGCATAGGGTTAGTGGAATAACTGCCATGTCAACCCTTCACAATCTGCCAGCCCTATCCCCTGACTTCGAAAAAAAAAAAAAAAAACTAAATCAAAACACTAACTCCAACGTTAAAACATTCGAGGGACAAGAAGTAGCAGCAAGCCTCACATATAAGCTATCAGAGAAACTGAAATAGTGGCAGGAAAAGAGAGACAACTTCACAACTTAGAGTAAGATTTTACTACTTGAATCTAACCATTGTGCAATATGCAATACAGAGTAAAATAAAGAAGAAAACAACAAAGAACAAAAAACTCCTTCTCAAACATGCCATTGACAGCACAGTCATTATGTCCATCTCTATCCACTAACCTGGGAGGTGGGCTGTGGGTCAGAGGATGTAGAGTCCCAGTCTTGTCTGTTCTTGCTGAGGCCTTGATGGGGACCCTGCTCAGAGAGTGTCCACCAAAAGCAGAGGTGAAAAGGCTGTGCTGCTCTGGGTTATGATTGAAAGGTAACTGTATCAGGATGTGAGTGCTCTGTGTGCACTGCAGCACCATGTGCTCTTTCGTGCGCTCTCTCTCTCTCTCTCTCTCTCTATCATATCTCTCTAATTTCTCTCGTGTTTCTGTTCTCTCTGTCTCTCTGTCTATCTGTTTCTCCTATCTCTGTCTCTCTATGAGTCTCTCTTGTCTCTGTCTCTGTATGTATTCTCTAGGTCTGTCTAGACTATAGCTCTCTAGATCTCGAGAGAGATCTCCTCTTCATCTCTCTCTCTCTCTCCTCTCTCTCTCTCTCTCTCTCTATCTCTCTCTCTCTCTCTCTCTCTCTCTCTCTCTCTCTCTCTCTCTCTCTCTCTCTCTCTCTCTCTCTTTCAATTTAAGGGCTTTATTGGCATGGGAAATGTATGTTAACATTGCCAAAGCAAGTGAAGTAGATAGTAAACATAAGTGAAATAAACAATAAATATTAACAGTAAACATTACACTCAGAAGTTCCAAAAGAATAAAGACATTTCAAATGTCATATTATGTATATATACAGTGTTGTAACAATGTGCAAATAGTTAAAGTACAAATGGGAAAATAAATAAACATAAATATGGGTTGTATTTACAATGGTGTTTGTTCTTCACTGGTTGCCCTTTTCTTGTGGCAACAGGTCAAAAATATTGCAGCTGTGATGGCACACTGTGGTTTTTCACCCAGTAGATAAGGGAGTTTATCAAAATTGTGTTTGTTTTTGAATTCTTTGTGGGTCTGTGTAATCGGAGGGAAATATGTGTCTCTAATATGGTCATACATTTGTCAGGAAATTAGGAAGTGCAGCTCAGTTTCCACCTCATTTTGTGGGCAGTGTGCACATAGCCTGTCTTCGCTTGAGAGCCAGGTCTGCCTATGGCGACCTTTCTCAATAGCAAGGCTATGCTCACGGAGTTTGTACGTAGTCAAAGTTTTCCTTAATTTTGGGTCAATCACAGTGGTCAGGTATTCTGCCACTGTGTACTCTCTGTTTAGGGCCAAATAGCATTCTAGTTTGCACTGTTTTTTTGTAAATTCTTTCCAATGTGTCAAGTAATTAACTTTTTGTTTTCTCATGATTTGGTTGGGTCTAATTGTGTTGCTGTCCTGGGGCTCTGTTGGGTCTGTTTGTGTTTGTTTACAGAGCCCCAGGACCAGCTTGCTTAGGGGACTCTTCGCCAGGTTCATCTCTCTGTAGGTGATGGCTTTGTTATGGAAGGTTTGGGAATCGCTTCCTTTTAGGTGGTTGTAGAATTTAACGGGTTGTTTCTGAATTTTGATCATTAGCGGGTATCGGCCTAATTCTGCTCTGCATGCATTATTTGGAGTTTTACGTTGTACACTGAGGATATTTTTGCAGAATTCTGCATGCAGTCTCAATTTGGTGTTTGTCCCATTTTGTGAATTCTTGGTATTTTTAGCCAGATCCTAATTGGTATGTCGAATTGTATGTTCCTATTAATGGCATAGAAGGCTTTCTTGCCTTGTCTCTCAGATCGTTCACAGCTTTGTGGAAGTTACCTGTGGCGCTGATGTTTAGGCCGAGGTATGTATAGTTAAATAAAGGTAAAATAAAAAAAATATTATTACTAAGCAGGAGAGGATTGTCGGGGCCATCATGGATGGATGGATGGCATTGAGATGTAAGAGAAAATACATTGATGTGTTAGTCAGAGGGCTGTTAGAACACACTGTCACTACCATCCATGGAGATGGTGTGTTTACACTGGTTAACATTGAGCTGGTGTTTACCATACTCTGCTGTTGCCATAGTGATAATAAAGACTAATAAGTTTGTAGAGACTGTAATTCGTCGTCCGTAATGATAAGCGAAGTACAGGTATTTGCCCGTTTATAACGTAACTTATAAGTAGGGAAGAATGTATTCAGAAGCCTTTTCGGTTATCTCAGAGGACTTTTTACAAGTTTCACATGTAAAAGTTTATAGCCAGCCTTTTTAGAGTCAAGTTGTATGATGAAATAGGTTTAACAGATTATCAGAAGAAAAGAGATCAAGTAACCCACTGGGCACACACTGGTTGAATCAAAGTTGTTTCCACGTTTTTCCAATGACATTATATTGAACCATTGTGGAATAGACATTGAATTGATGTCTGTGACCAGTGGGTATGAACTGTTCAGTAAGAGCAAATGTCAGAGAGAGGAAACCATCCATCTCTCCCTGATTCCCCAATACAATAGTGTCTTGCAAGAAAACTAAAACCACATACGTATGATGTTCCACTTCCGTAAACTCTTCTGAGAAACCAGGAAACCAAGAGGGGCCCACGCATGCACTTGTGAAGACCGTTGCAACTGAAAAGACTATAGATTACATGTACTTTCAAAATACAAATCATGTACGTGCAAAAAAGTGCCCACACAGACGATCATTGTTGCAAATCTTCCAGTGGCACCCAGTGGTCCAGTGTAGTAATCCAGTACTCCCCACACTCTGGTTGTCGTCTGGCTCTCTGGTCTGGTTACTGCCTGTCACTGATTGCTGGTGTGGGGGAAGTATGGTTCTTCACACAGTCCATCCACCTTAACCCATGACTTTCCAGCTCCATATGAGCAGGTGTCTGGCCATCTCTCCCCAGATACCCCCTCTCTCTCCAGAGAATATATGTATCTTTAACTTGATAACAGCTGCACTGTCCACAGCCCTATGTACACTATGTTTCCATTGGCACCTTTAATGTGCTTTTTCCTTATCACTGAATAGCCAAAACTTCTTGGTAAACATTAACAGTTAGATAATGCCCACTGAGCAGATACAGAGGCACCTGACCCAATATCTGTGTTACAGCTGAGGTTGTACATAGCGGAGCTGCTATGTGCTGCCTCCTCAAACAACCTTTTCTCAAAGGATTGTATTGTTCCGTCTATGTGGTGTTGTTCGAGTTATGCTTAAAGGTACAATTTATCAGTCCCCTTTGAGTATACATGCTTTGAATCTGGGTATGTTAGCTACTCTTGAACTGTATTTTCATGCACTGGCCTCTCTCCATACTTAATGGAACCTTGTTCAGGAATCACGGTTTAAATCAGAGGAGGCTGGTGGGAGGAGCTATAGGAGGACAGGCTCATTGTAATAGCTGTAATGGAATAAATGGAACTGAGTCAAAGATGTGGTTTCAATATGTTTGATAGCGTTCTATTTATTCCCTTCCAGTCATTACAATGAGGCCGTCCTCTCACCAGCCTCCTCTATTAAAAACCTCACAGCTTCAACAAGTGACTTGATCGATCAAGATTTCTAAACTATTCAATTCCCTACCTGGATGTTTGTTTTTGTAGTAGAACAATGAGTGTCTGTGAAGTGAAGGGAATCAACAAGTGGCTTTCAACACACTGTTTCTTCGCAGACAGAAGAGAAGGGAGAAAGCAAGACTCTTTTCTCACAGAGATTTTATTATTTACAACCAAAAGACACATAGTGGGGTTTTTAGTGGGGTTAGAGTCACATAACATCATTTTTTTTGCACCTGTGGCTCATATTCTATTTTAATCATGAACTCCATGGGCACTTATAGTCATCTTGCTCTATTCATTTACATTTTGTTTCTCAGATTTCTTGCAAACTGCTCAACTTCCTTCCTTTTTTCTGATGAAATGTTTGATAAAGTGATGCAGTTATGACCAAGCACACCAGATTCCACAGTGTGAAGTAACACCTATTCACTCATCTCTCTCACTCTCTCTCTCTCTCTTTCTCTCTCTCTCTCTCTCTCAACCCTCTTTGTCATCTTTGAGAGTTTTCAGATGAATGATGAGGTCTTCAGCTGGTCATAAATGCTACTTAAAGAGAGAAAGTGGGCTTAATGTGTCCACCACAAACATTGCAAAATGTATGGCTGGGTAAGGTACGCAGGAAGGTGGGGGAGAGGGGGTGGGAGAGGAAGAGAGCCACACTGACATTACATTGTATTGGAAAAATGGAGGCCTGTGGGAGAATGAGAATAGGTGGAGTGATCTGACTTTACTGGTCTGACTGGTAGGTCTGGTGGGTGCGTTTTCTTAATGTCAGAGACATATGACGGGTGTGGTGAGAGACACAGAAACAGATAGAGCCGACAGAGAGGTACTAAAGAGAGGGAGAGAGGGAGGAATAGAGGATTGGTCCAAACAAACCAGTGTTGTTGCTTCACGTCGAGGAGCTGACCATCTTTTATTATAACAGCAATCTGACCATCAACACTAAGAGAACCATTTGGACCCTCTGACCTTCAGTGACCTACAGTGATTTTGCCGTGTGTGAATGCACGTGTGTGTGGATTGGGATAACACTGACAGCTCTAGCTTCTCTGAAAACCAACATTAACTAGTTGCTAAGCTCTAAGGGACTGAGATGGCGGCAGGCCCCAAGATTGAACTTTTCATCAAGGTAAGCGTTAGAATCCTAACCTGCCTCCAATGGAGACGTTATTACTGTATTTTGAACTTTAGTCCTGTTTTATAACAACAGGAGTACATTTTAGTTCCACCATCTTGGAATGGGAGACAGCGTACAGCAAGGATTTAAACTTTCAGGATATTGATCAACGTTGACCCATTTTGCATGCCCCACCCTATCATGAGAAAAAGATAAACGGTTTAGTTTGATATCATTGGAAAGCTTACAAACAGGGTTGTCAAACTATTTTATAATATATTTTTACAAATAAATTGTACTTTTAAAAACTTTAACATCAATGATCTAAAAATGCGTAAACTCCGATTTTTTTAATGTTCATATATGTTGTAGGTTAGACCCTATTTTACATAATCAGAAGTGTTTGTGTTGTGCCCACCGATTGGTTAATATACAGCATGCTTTTGAATACAGAGTGGGTGTCATGTTTTGGCTGATAAATGTGGGTGGTCCGACGGCTATCTTTCTGGTAGTAATTGGAAATAAAAATGTCAATTAAATTACAATTTCAATGGTGTACCAGCTAAATTGCAGTGGTCTGAAGGGATAGGTCCATTCTATTAATTATATTTAAATTATTTAAAGACACCCACCCTGTATTCAAGAGTATGCTGTGTCTCAACTGATTATGGGCACAACACAAACACATCAAATTATGTAAAATAGGGTCTAAGCTACAACATATGTGAAAATGAGAAAAATCTGAGTTCATGCGTTTTTAGATCATTGATAATTGACGCTACAGGTTCAATTGTTTTATTTTTAAATAAAAAAAGAAATTCTTAAGAAATTCTAAAATAGTTTGACAACTCTGTTTGTAAGCTTCCAAATGATATCAAACCGTTTATCTTTTCCAGTGATGAAAACATGGATGTCTCATGGTAGGGTGGGGTATGCAAAATGGGTCAACATTCAGCGCCGCTATCTTCTGAATGTTTTGGCATTCAGGTCCAAATAGCCACTTTCTGACCACTTCTACCTTTGGCAAATATGTATGGAAGGTTTTGTTCAAATCAAAAGGGGTGCAGTCAGAAAGTGATTGAAATAATATGGAATGACCCTGAAGCGATGTAACCTCTTCGTAAAAGCTTGTTGTTTACATATATCCTGTTCAGTTACAGAGTATGGGTGTGTTTTCTGTTTGAAGTCAGGTGAACAGAAACTGAAAAAGAGGATTGTCCAGTTTGGAGGCGTTCTGCTTGTCTTTCCAATCACTCAATTATCTTGATTCGCAAAGTGTTGTAAAAAGTGCTATATAAATAAAAACGGTAACACTTTACATTAGTGTCCTTATTACAGTGGAATTACATAAGGAAGTATAGTGTACAGCAACAAAAGTACAGCAATAAATCATATTTGTTACACTGTACTTACATTATGAAAACGTTAATAAAACATGACTGACAGATTGAGGAGATATTTTTTTATGTCATTCTCGAATACCCCTCCACCCTTCAGGCCAGTGATGATGGGGAGAGTGTGGGGAACTGTCCCTTCTGTCAGCGACTCTTTATGATCCTCTGGCTGAAGGGGGCCAACTTCACCCTCACCACAGTGGACATGAAGAGGTACGTATGTGGCTATTCCCTCTCACACACATACACTCTCCACAATACACCTAAAGCAACCGTTTAATCCTTCCAAGCCACGCCTGAATCCAAGTGCTTGTCCAAACATGCCCAGGCATCCTCAAAAGTCATTTGTCACTACTTGAACTGCTAATGAGGATTGTGTGTAATAGATGAAGTGTGCAGTTGAGGGACTTTCTCCCTCATGTGTTTCATCTGGTCCTCTGGCTGTCAGGGCTCCAGAGGTGCTGAAGGACCTGGCCCCAGGTTCTCAGCCCCCGTTCCTCATCTTCGGGGAGGAGGTGCGGACTGACACCAACAAGATCGAGGAGTTTCTAGAGGTGGCCCTGGCTCCCCCACAGTGAGTGTGTGATGAACATAAACAGGCATAAATGCACGCACACACACACACACACACACACACACACCAAATGAGACAGGTAATGAATAAATACATGTTTATTACAACCGCTTTGCAGTCAAATGTATCCTCCACTGGCTTTACTGATCCAGAAAGCTGAGAGCTAATGGCAATGCTTTTCCAGGTACCCCAAGCTCTGCTGTCGCTACAAGGAGTCCAATGGTGCTGGAGACGACATTTTCCACAAGTTCTCAGCATACATCAAGAACTCTAACCCTGGGCTCAATGATAGTAAGAGCCCCTCCTTGTTTAGAAATCACTGAGTTATTGAAACAGCATGTCCTGTATTAAAGCGATCATGGTTCCAGCTTTTCATGAGGCTTTGCTCCTTTTCAGTGCTGGAGAAGAAGTTTCTGAAGAGCCTGATGAAGTTGGATCATTACCTGCTGACGCCACTCCCACATGAGCTGGACCAGAACTCAAACGCCCGCATGTCCTCACGGCACTATCTGGACGGGAACTCCCTCAGTCTAGCTGACTGCAACCTGCTGCCCAAGCTCAACATAGTCAAGGTTATCAGATCAAGCATTCCAGGAACTCATAGACCACACCACACCACCTTTGCCAGTGTCATCTATTGTCCTTTCCTTGATTCTGTTCCTCTCTGTTGGAACATCTCTATCAAGAAGTGCAAAGGTGTATTCACTGTATTTATAGATGTACTCAGGGGTGTCACTATGGTAACATGGCACTGTAGTGATCAAAGATGGACAGTGTGGATAGGCTTAAAGATCAAACAATGGTTCAAACAATGGGAATATATACAGTGAATGGCCTTTTATTAGTCTGTATCACTACATACTAAAAGTACCACTGGCACCACCGTGCTACTAGTAAACAGATTAAATGTTGCTCAGTGTGGTTCAGTGTGTGTCCTCCCTCTTGCCCCCTACAGGTGGTGTGTAGGAAGTACCGTGACTTTGAAATCCCTGCGGCTCTGACTGGTCTGACCCGCTACCTGACCAAGGCCTACCAGCAGGACGAGTTCCGCCATACCTGCCCCAAGGACACCGAGATCCTACTGGCCTACCACTCAGTGGCCAAGTACCTCAACAAGTAGATCAGGAGAGAAGGAGGGGGAGAGAAAGAGAAAGAGAATAGAGAGGGAGGGCAGACAGGGTAAAAGAGGAATTGAAAAAGGTGTGTTAGAAAAGAGAATAAATATAAAAAAGGGGAAAGGAGGGCTATGAAGCGATGAGGACCAGAACAATAAGCCTGCTGCCTGTGCTGCAGAACAAGGCATTTCTGTCTTCTGTCAGTAACATATGTATGTATAACGCTGTGTGTGCAGGGTGAAAGTCTGCTTATACTTTATATGTACTATTACAATGTGTAATATATAAATAATATATGCCATTTAGCTGAAGCTTTTAGCCGAAGCTTTTATCCAAAGCGACTTACAGTCTTGCGTGCATATTTTCTTTTGATATGGGTGGTCCCGGGAATACCCTGGCATTGCAAGCACCATGCTCTACCAACTGAGCCTGAGAGGACCGTATGTGTACAATACAATTGTGTGCTGCCTGATTAGTTTATGTAGATATTTGCATTCTTTGAGTTATGGTCAACAGTTCAAATGTTATGTTTAATAACCTTTCAATGTATGTTATGCTTTAAAAACCTAGCAATGTGCATACTTTGTCTGGCAATTGAGAGACAGCACTATGTCAAATGCCACGTCAACAAAGATAAATGTGGTACAATTGTGTGTGGGTTGATAGGTTTAGCATTTAATGAGATGTGCTATATTGAAATTACTATCACATCTAGTAGGCCCAGAGCAATACTAGTCTGAGTAGACTAATTTCATTTGTTTATTTTAAAGTGTTTGGATTGCCAGAGGCAAACAGTACAAATCTAATAAAGTTCACGAAACTGCCTAATTTCACTGAAAATTATTGATCAAATGGATGCCTGTTTTCATTGCTGTGGGTGGAATCATAAATGGGTGGAATGCACCATTACATCACAAATACATTGTTTTGTTTTTGTTGTTGATATTGGTTTGGGTTCAAACAGAATACAGTCCATAGATATATTATCTATGATCCAGAGTCAGTGTGTGTATAGTGCGTATGTTATCGTGTGTGTGTGTGTATGCATGTGTCTATGTTTGTTGCTTCACAGTCCCTGCTGTTCCATAAGGTAGGAAGCTAAGCTAGACGACCAATATTTTAACTGAACATTAGGCTACTGTCAGTATTTTCTCACTAGTTACAGTGGGGAAAAAAAGTATTTAGTCAGCCACCAATTGTGCAAGTTCTCCCACTTAAAAAGATGAGAGAGGCCTGTAATTTTCATCATAGGTACACGTCAACTATGACAGACAAATTGAGAAAAAAAAATCCAGAAAATCACATTGTAGGATTTTTTATGAATTTATTTGCAAATTATGGTGGAAAATAAGTATTTGGTCACCTACAAACATGCAAGATTTCTGGCTCTCACAGACCTGTAACTTCTTCTTTAAGAGGCTCCTCTGTCCTCCACTCGTTACCTGTATTAATGGCACCTGTTTGAACTTGTTATCAGTATAAAAGACACCTGTCCACAACCTCAAACAGTCACACTCCAAACTCCACTATGGCCAAGACCAAAGAGCTGTCAAAGGACACCAAAAACAAAATGGTAGACCTGCACCAGGCTGGGAAGACTGAATCTGCAATAGGTAAGCAGCTTGGTTTGAAGAAATCAACTGTGGGAGCAATTATTAGGAAATGGAAGACATACAAGACCACTGATAATCTCCCTCGATCTGGGGCTCCACGCAAGATCTCACCCCGTGGGGTCAAAATGATCACAAGAACGGTGAGCAAAAATCCCAGAACCACACGGGGGGACCTAGTGAATGACCTGCAGAGAGCTGGGACCAAAGTAACAAAGCCTACCATCAGTAACACACTACGCCGCTAGGGACTCAAATCCTGCAGTGGCAGACGTGTCCCCCTGCTTAAGCCAGTACATGTCCAGGCCCATCTGAAGTTTGCTAGAGTGCATTTGGATGATCCAGAAGAGGATTGGGAGAATGTCATATGGTCAGATGAAACCAAAATATAACTTTTTGGTAAAAACTAAACTTGTTGTGTTTGGAGGACAAAGAATGGTGAGTTGCATCCAAAGAACACCATACCTACTGTGAAGCATGGGGGTGGAAACATCATGCTTTGGGGATGTTTTTCTGCAAAGGGACTAGGACGACTGATCCGTGTAAAGGAAAGAATGAATGGGGCCATGTATCGTGAGATTTTGAGTGAAAACCTCCTTCCATCAGCAAGGGCATTGAAGATGAAACGTGGCTGGGTCTTTCAGCATGACAATGATCCCAAACACACCGCCCGGGCAACGAAGGAGTGGCTTCGTAAGAAGCATTTCAAGGTCCTGGAGTGGCCTAGCCAGTCTCCAGATCTCAACCCCATAGAAAATCTTTGGAGGGAGTTGAAAGTCTGTGTTGCCCAGCGACAGCCCCAAAACATCACTGCTCTAGAGGAGATCTGCATGGACGAATGGGCCAATATACCAGCAACAGTGTGTGAAAACCTTGTGAAGACTTACAGAAAACGTTTGACCTGTGTCAATGCCAACAAAGGGTATATAACAAAGTATTGAGAAACTTTTGTTATTGACCAAATACTTATTTTCCACCATAATTTGCAAATAAATTCATTAAAAATCCTACAATGTGATTTTCTGGAATTATTTTTCTCATTTTCTCTGTCATAGTTGACGTGTACCTATGATGAAAATTACAGGCGTCTCTCATCTTTTTAAGTGGGAGAACTTGCACAATTGGTGGCTGACTAAATACTTTTTTTCCCCACTGTATCTCTTATCTCTTCTACTTTACAGTTTCTATATAAATTGTTATTGAACAAGACATTTGGTCTCCACACCTTGTTATTGGATTTTCAACATTGCAGAACCAATTTCATTTTTGTAAGCTTAAGTTTACCGTTTTAATTTAGAAAATAAAGACAAATGGCATGGACTGGCACACCAGTCGGGAACTCAGACTTTTTCTAGAACTCCGACTTTCCGACATGAAGATCACTGATGTCATGATTTGACTGAGTTTTTCCCCCCAGAGTTCCCAAAAGTAAATCCATCTACTTTGGGACACACCCGTGACTTGAATGATGCAATTCATGTTCAACTTTTAAATAATAAAACAAGCATGACACTTGTGCAGTGGTGTAAAGTACTTAAGTAAAAATACTTTAAAGTACTACTTAAGTCAGGTTTTTTGGTATTTGTACTTTACTATTTATATTTTTGACAACTTATACTTTTACTCCACTACATTTCTAAATAAAATTATGTACTTTTTTCTCCATACATTTTCCCTTACACCCAAAAGTACTCGTTACATTTCAAATACTTACAGTAACAGGACAGGAAAATTGTGCAATTCACACACTTATCAAGAGAACATCCATGGTCATCCATACTGCCTCTGATCTGGCGGACTCACTAAACACAAATGCTTAGTTTGTAAATGATTGTGCCCCTGGCTATCCCTAAATTTAAAAAACAAGAAAATCGTGCCGTCTGCTTAATTTAAGGAATGTGAAATGATTTATATTTCACTTTTGATACATAAGTATTTTTTTCCAATTAGATTAACTTTTGATACTTAAGTACATTTAAAACCAAATACTTTTAGACTTTTACTCAAGTAGTATTTTACTGGGTGACTTTCACTTTTACTTGAGTCATCTTTACATATACCCAAGTATGACACTTGTGCATATGGCAGAGGCGCGCGTGAACACGCAAATGGAGGGGCGAGGGGAAGGGAATCATTTGGAATTCAGCCTGAGACGACCATGGCATATGGTTTACATAGTTTTCATGCTCATCAAACCATTCAGTGACCACTCGTGCCCTGTGGATGGGAGCATTATCATCCTATGGGCATTGCCATGGTAGTCAAAATAATGGCCTGCTACATGACCCTAAGTATGATTGGATGTTAATTGCTTAACTAATTCAGGAACCACACCTGTATGGAAGCACCTGCTTTCAATATACACTACATGACCAAAAGTATGTGGAAAACTGCTCGTCGAACATCTCATTCCAAAACCATGGGCATTAATATGGAGTTGGTCATCCCTTTTCTGCTATAACAGCCTCCACTCTTCTGGAAGGCTTTCCACTAGATGTTGGAACATTACCGCAGGGACTTGCTTCCAATCAACCACATTAGCATTAGTGAGTTCGGCAAACCATTTCTGTATGGACCTCGCTTTGTGCACGGGGGCATTGTCATGCTGAAACAGGAAAGTGCCTTCCCCAAACTGTTGCCACAAAGTTGGAAGCACAGAATCATCTAAATTGTCATTGTATGCTGTAGCGTTAAGATTTCCCTTCACTGGAACTAAGGGGCCTAGCCCGAACCATGAAAAACAGCCCCAGATGATTATTCCTCCTCCACCAAACTTGACAGTTGGCATTATGCATTCGGGCAGGTAGCGTTCTTCTGGCATCCACCAAACCCAGATTCTTCCCTCGGACTGCCAGATGGTGAAGCGTGATTCATCACTCCAGAGAACGCGTTTCCACTGCTCCAGAGTCTAATGGCGGCAAGCTTTACACCACTCCAGCCAACCTGGCATTGCGCATGGTGATCTTAGGCTTGTGTGCGGCTTCTCGGCCATGGAAACCCATTTCATGAAGCTCCCGACAAACAGTTATTGTGCTGACGTTGCTTCCAGATGCCGTTTGGAACTCAGTAGTGAGTGTTGCAACTGAGGACAGACAATGTTTACGCGCTACGTGCTTCAGCACTCGGCGGTCCCGTTCTGTGAGCTTGTGTGGCCTACCACTTCGCGGCTGAGCCGTTGCTGCTCCCAGACGTTTCCACTTAAATTCACTTTGTTTACATGTCCCATTCTTCAATTTTGTCTGGGATATATATTTTAGTTGACACACCTGTGTGATGTATCTGATATACAGTGCATTCGGAAAGTATTCAGACCCTTTGACTTTTTCCACATTTTGTTACATTACAGCCTTATTGTAAAATGGATCAAATAAAATAAAATCCTCATCAATCTACACACAATACCCCATAATGAAAACAGGTTTTTAAAAATGTTTGCAAATGGTTTACAAATAAAAAAAAACAGAAATACCTTATTTACATAGGTATTCAGACCCTTTGCTATGAGACTCGAAATTCAGCTTAGGTGCATCCTATTTCCATTGATCATCCTTGAGATGTTTCTACAACATGATTGGAGTCCACCTGTGGTAAATTCAATTGATTTGACATGATTTGGAAAGGCAAACACCTGTCTATATAAGATCCCACAGTTGACAATGCATGTCAGAGCAAATTCCAAGCCATGAGGTCGAAGTAATTTTCCGTAGAGCTCCAAGACAGGACTGTGTGTCGAGGCA